TTGCGGATATCAAAAATTTGCACTCTCGTCAGAAACACTAATGAAGGTTATGAAAGCAACGAAGAGAAGAGCCCTATTTTGTCAAAACAATTGTGGTGGGCATTTAAAAGATATTATATATAAAAACTATGATACAATATTACCATAAAAATGTTCTTCTTTTAAATAAATCAAGTTTCAACTTCATAACGTTCTTAGTTTTTTTATTTATTAACAAATTAAAAGGGTTACTTAATTCTGAAACACCCTGTATTTGCTGATTATAAGTGGTAAATAAATTAATAGACGATTAAGTTAAGAGATGGTTTTAGACACATAAAAACTAGTTCTGATACAGCTTGGAATTAGACCACAGCTCGTTCTGAGCTGTGTTATATTCCGGTACAGCTCACACAGGGCGTCGGAATTACGAATTACGGTTTTGAAGCGCTCTATCTACAACAGGCTGGAATTCTAAGAATGGAAGTTCACTTATAAAAAAGCTTTCCGCTCAAGCTGAAAAGCTTTCCCACAGTGCTGTGCCAGGTGACTGACTAAAGTGACTATAAATGAAAAGGAGGATCAAAAGTGAACAAAATGTTTCAATTTTATAGGACATTAGATTTGTAAAAGAATTATTTGGATGTCTCTTGTTTGATAGATATTTTTTATTTGACTTTTATTTACCATCAACCAATCACAGCTTGAAAGCATCCCCATCAACCAATCACAGCTTGAAAGCATCCCCATCAACCAATCGCAGCTAGAAAGCAGTTAACATTACAATTCCATTATCCAACCACAGGTGGAAAGCTGAAAGTGAAAGGTGCTGAAATCACAATCCTATCAACCAATCACAGCTGGAATTCTGAATGGGATAGGATATGTAAATAATGGACTGAAAGTGTAAAGTTCCTAGCCTTTCCAAGTTTTCAGGTCCTGCTTTCCAATGTGCTATGTGTACTGGTTAATTTATTATCCCTCTGGAATTCCACACTGATCTACAAGTCTATGGATATCACACTGTGCATTTCAGTGACTTGGGAATTAGTCTCACAATATGCCAAATTTAGTCACACCCAGCGTTGGAATTTAGCAATTTTGTAGATTTTCAATGCTAAAGGCTTTTAAATGAATATTGCAACAGTTTGTGATGTTTCATCATTGTTGGCGCATAGTGTGGTGTTTTGAGAGTGACGTAAAGCAATCAGAACTCGAGTTGCGCATACGGTGATCTTTTTATAGCCATTCATTTCTTGCTATGTCCTTAAAGTGTCGGAATATGGTGTGTTAACCCTTAATGTTAATGTTATTGTTGCTATTTCTAGGGTAAAATTAGAGATTTGTGATAACATGTGCACAGGACTTAACTGGACTTTGTAAATGAGTTTGCAGCTCATAAGTGGCTCATCATGGTAACTGTGAAAATGGCTTACTGTGTGCACTTGTGGTCTTTCAGATTTTCAACTATTTTCTAAATAGTTGGCTGAAGACTGGTGAAAATCTGAAATGAAATAATTTCAATTCAAATGTTTCAGCAAGATCTTCTGAAGGCGTAAATTTTGCTGCTGATGCATTCCCAAAGATCTTGCAATATTCACCCACTTTCTGCACCCTGTACTAGTTGCAGCCCAATCGTTTACTTTAACTAAGTTAGATAGAAGGTAATTCATCTAGCGGCCAGTGGGAATCTCTCGGCTCCAAATATGGCAGGCAATTGTTGGTTGCAGCTAAAGAGATAAATATGAGACTTCCTAAGCCATGAAGATTTCTTGCCTAAAATCCATGTAAATGAGTGATTAAGAAGGATTGTGTCAGCAAGGTTCTTGAATTCTCTTCTTGATGCTAATGTGCTGAGCTATAATGTAAGGCCTTTTAGCTCTAGATATTGGCATCTTTTCAAGCTCTCCATCAGCCATCTTGATCTTAAATTGCATCTGCTTATCAAAAATCCTGAATCAATCTATCAAGACTGCCATCACCATGCATATGTTTAGCTTGTTTTGACTGCTTGTATATGTTCACAGTTCACCACAGTGATCATAATATGTCTACATTGTTTCCAATCATCACCCTGTAGAGGTCTTGGAATACTAGTTATGTTATTGTTAGGTATTAGGCTTATAGTAAATAAATGTGTTGTCAATTTAAAATTAATCAGCGTTTTGAATTGTAAACATTTTTACATTTTTAAGAGAGTATTGAAACTGTGGCCGGAGATTGTGGATAGGTAAATGTAGCAGTACAAATGTGGTCTTGACAGCACCATCTTGTCTTTTGTAAAGCTTATCCTAGTAGAGTGAAGGCTAATCACTGCCTATTGGTCAAGCCATGAACATTGTAGCGGTTCCCGGTAAGCCCGCACAAATATGCGAGACTGTAACTCTTGAGACCTTGGTCATGAAACAAATACTGAATGTGGTCAGAAGGAGTCACATTCAGGAAGGCATGAAACATGGAAAACACTAAACAATTTACTACTAACAACACAAAATACAAAATGGTGGATACAACAATAAATAAACAGTACCTAGTCTAAATCAAACACTAGCGGTGGTGTCAGTTCAGCCCACTTGGTGGTCTGGGTAAAGTACTCTAATGAGTGGACCACTGAGGCCTCTCAGCGTTTCAGTTTCAGGTAATTACGAGATAATAGAAAAGTGACAAATGAAAAAAATAGTTATTAACAGCTTCTGCTGCCAGATACTAACATCTTACTCAAACCTTAGCCAAGGCCAACTATGGTTTTAACAACCATAAATCAAGTAGTAACCATCCCTAGTAGTAGCGGTAATCAAATAGTAATCATAAATCAAGTAGTAACCATCACAGGCTCCAGGTACAAGCCAAGGAGTGATAGTTGGCAAGGCAGAACTTGACCACTGGTGGAGGGATGGAGATCAATGCCGAGTGGTTTGTGGGCCGAGTCACACACTCACATACCACACCCAGGCACACCACACTCACTCCACAAGGCACTCAGCACCATCACTCTTACCTTATGGCAGGAAGTATGCCCAGAGGGTTGTAGCCATCTTACTATTTGCTGGGCTGTTGGGAGAGCTAATGATTATCTAGGGCCTAGAGCACACTTTGAAAGCAAATGGTATTTGGCAAGCAAATAGAAACAAATAGGTGCCAAGCACAGGACCTGAAGTTATTCTTCGAACAGCATTAGTTTAATCCCACCCTCACTATCTTTCGCTCATTCGCACAGCAATAGTTTAAGCCACCATAGAGCCCCCTATTACTTTCTTTCCAGGATGTAATTTTAGTACGTGGAAAATATACTTGCAACAATTCCATGTTTTCGAAATGGATTGAGTGATTTGGATTATTTCTAATTTAGCCACCTTTGTAATTCCAGATTTCTTTGTAATTACAGATTTTTACCCCAGTGTGACCATTCATTAATTTTCCAATATTTTCAATCTTCATCAGTTGTATTCAGAATGAACACAAACAAATAACAATTAGTTGGGAAGAAATATTTTTTCTCATGCTCATGCTGACGCAACAATGCGCATTTTGGGCACTCGTCGTACGAGGGTGCTTCAAAATGTTTGTGGAAAAACGACAGATTCTCGAAGTATCATTTACAAGTTTAGCTTGAACTCGCATCCATTTTACTAGTATGTTATTTTAGACAGTCGCGGAATCAGTTTTCATTTATTAAAGCGCCCTTAGTTGAATTGTTATGTTGACTTTGGAATATGCTATTACCTACATATTAAAATACCAGCATATACTGTTGGTTGTGAATGCTTGGAAGGAATGCGGACACAAACCACGTTTTTTTTCTATGTATACCACGAGTGCCGATAGATGAATAATTTGAGGAATATTGCGTTTGAAGTTGGTTCAATAATCCTCGACTTTGAATAATTTAAGATTTTAAAATTATTCTGACTAACGTCAATATCTTGCTGATGACGACACGTTGCATCTTTACATATTTTGTACTTCTCAGTTAATCAGTTAAAAGGGTACCTATGCCGGAGTACGCGTTCATAAGTAATGATTTCCCGTTAGCTTGATGATTTTTATGCGAGAAGAATGCCAATGAAGATCAATGCATGTTTAGATCGACCTGAGCCAACGATGGTCATGTTTCTTCCGAGTTGAGCGAGTTTGTTATACGCGCCGCATCAATATTTCATGTATTGTTGAGATGGATCGTCGGTGGGTGCATGCGCGGAAATAAACTGTGGTATTTTACATGCATTTACTTAAGCGTTTATTGTCTCCAAAATTTCTTTGGTCATGCAATGTTCCTTGTGATGAGCTAGGTTTGTCATACGATGATAGTGGAAAAATATCAATGGGCGAGTCTCGCGTAGTTGTTCCTAAAATTAACTAGAATGTTATCCAGAAATATTTCGATTTTTGTGTGTTTGACAGCGATGACGACCCTGTGCTGGAAGTGAAAGAGTTTGCATTAGTGCACTTATTCCTCGAAACGATCACGCTTCGCCTACAGCGGCTTCACTTCCTTGCGAGTTTTCAAAAAATATGAATGAGAAAAATGCGTCGCGGGTTTCTGAGGATGTCTATTGGCAGATTTAAGGACTTGATAAGTAGTAAGAGAGTGGAAAGGGTCTGTAAAAATGTTTTAAAAATTTTCTTGTAGAAATTACAATATAAATACATGAATATGTACAGAATATGTACGCCGATTTCATTTATCGCGGCCCAGGTCTTCTAGTACATATCGTCCGCGATAGGTGAGGGATAACCGTGGCGATTTGGTATAGATATAATCTACAAATTGCAAGACGAGACAAGCTTTATAGGAGCTTGAAATTCTTATGCAAAGAATATATTAGAATGTGATCTTCTACGCACGATAAGGTAATATTGTGTTTAACTACCTCATATACAGGAATCGAGTCCTATTCACATTCCGTTCATGCATGTATTCATAACTGTTTGTGAACAATTTGAACAATTTGGTAATATTTTGAAGAGTCGATTTTTATATTATTTAATTAATGTATAATACCTTAATTTTCTTATGTATCAGCAAAATTAAAATTCTTCTAAATTGAAATGGAAGATATGACCTGCAAGATAAATATAGGCTTTTCTACACCTATGAAGGTAATTTCATTCGTCTATACTGTTGAAAAGTGCACTCAGTAGTTGTTTTCTAAGGACGATGAAATATCCCCTTTGTTTACGTTCAGAATCAGAAAATAAATCTTTCGCCGTTAGCGGTGGGACTTGGTCGATTTAAAACTTGGCGAATCAAAGTTTCATTGAAAGGTAATATGATTTATATATGTGAATAATCAAAATTAAACAACTAATATATTTTTGATGACTATTACTATTAGTACTAAATTTTCGAAGCACGTACAACAGACGTATAAGTAGGTAGACCAGCAAATTATTTTGGTTTCTACTACATCAATGTTGTTTGTCATACCTAAGATATTGTTTTAAATCTTGAGTAAATGAATAAATTGAAAATAAATGTGTTCTTGAAGTTGAAAATCTCTGGTTTTTCACTAGGGTAAATGCAGTTTATTCCAACATGATGACATTGTGGGTAATTCTGACACTTCTCAACTTTTTTCCTTTATATTAAGCTTTGTCTTAGTTCCACGCATTTGTTGATGGTTGTAATAGTGACGTCAAGGTCATAGCTCATAGGGTAAACGCGTTATATTCCGACACATTAAGGACGCATTGTGAAATGAAAAACTATACAAAAAAACCATATGCGCAGCGTTACTCAAGTTCTGTTTGCTTTACGGTAAACTGAGTTTACGTGACTCTCAAAACACCGCACGACGCACCAGCAACGATGAAACGTCACAAAATGTTGCCATATTTATTTAAAAGCCTTTAGAATGCAAACCTACCAAATCCCTATATTCCGACACTGTGTGTGACTATATTCGGCACGTGGTGAGACGCATAGTGACAAAGCAGAGAGTTTTTTAGACTCTCCCTCAAGTTCACTTTTGAGTCCTATAAGTAAACCAGCAAAGTATCATGGATACTACTCATACCAGCATTATCATACTTGAGAAATTGGCTTAAATCTTGAGTAAATGAGGAAATTAAAAATGAACTGATTCTAAAAAAGCTCTGGTTTGCCACTATGGTGAGACGTATTCCGACCACGCTTCAAATTGTAGTGTAGGGTAAACGCTGTATATTCAGACATTGTGGGTAATTCCGTCACCTCTCTAGTTTTTCCTTTATATTAAGCTTTGTTTTAGTTCCATGCGTTCATTGATGGTTGAAATGGTGACGTCATACATTTGCGCGTCGAACTACTGCCAAAGCACTAGGTCTTGGCCATCTAGCAGGAAAATATTGAGATCCAAAGAGAGACAATGCATGCTACCCAGTGAGATCATCGAAAAATGTGTCAAATTTGACAGTTGACCTTGCTCTACCAAATGTGAATAACTGTTTGTATAGGAAGAATATTATGGTTTGAGACTTTTAAATACGTCTGTGATACTGTGAATATATTAGGAATCCTTTAAGTATACGTGTATTTGCTGATTTCAATTGGTAAATAAATTAATAGATGATTAAGTTGAGAAATGGATTTAGACACATGAAAACTAATTCTGTCACAACTTGAATTGGATACACAGTTACACACAGATCGTTCCAAGCAATGTACAAAAATTAAACTTTGCTTAATTAAAAGCTTGATAGTTGTTAATTAAAAGCGTAATTAAGTAGTGTTCAATATTCATTAGTGTTCTAATTCAAAGCCGTGCCGTATTGTATTCCAATACAGCTCACACAGCAAACGGAATTCGAACACATGGATGAGGGCATTACGTATCAGTAGAATTTGAAGCACGGACGCCCGGACGGAATACGCCTCACCACCTGCCGAATATTGCCACACACAGTGTCGGAATATAGGGATTTGGTAGGTTTGCATTCTAAAGGCTTTTAAATAAATATGGCAACATTTTGTGACGTTTCATTGTTGCTGGCGCGTAGTACGGTGTTTTGCAAGTCACATAAAGCAAACAGAACTCGAGTAACGCATACGGTTATTTTTTTATAGTTTTTCATTTCTTGATGCGTCCTTAATGTGTCGGAATATACCGCGTTTACCCTACCTTAAAATGGGATAACTTTGACCACTTTTTTTTTTCAAAACGATGCCATTTTTTTTACTAGATAGATCAAACACAAATTGAAGCATGCAAAATATAGGTCTATACTCTAGCAGTCTAGCTTTACTCACCATAAATTGCTGGCTCCTGCCTCTCATTGTTTTGATGTAATTTCAAAAAAAGTGATGGTCTTTGTTACCCCAGCTCTTGGGGTTTCTTTGACCAGGTGGTGAAATCAATTTTTTTTTGTTAAAATAACTCCAAATAACTCCAGGTTGTGGTGCATTGTAGTAGAACTCTTCTAGTTACATATGCAAAAAAAAATATTGTTCGATATATTGAAAAAACTAATAAGAAAATTGCGAATAAAACAAATTCTCTGGTCTTCAATGAAACCTGCTTGAAAGAAGAAATTCTGCCAACCTATACTAATTAAGGTACAATTGTGAATGAATGATTCTACTATATAATATAGCTAATGTTCTGCGGCCCTCTTCAACATGAACAAGTGCTACAGTCCCATGTTTGAGGAAATTCTTAATGTAATGTGATGTCTTTGTAATCAAGTATTTTACTGCAACTGGTTTATTAAACATTGAACCTGCTACTTTATTATCCACAACCAATAATCTGCCTTATAAATCTTGACACATGCATGTTGATGCTGATCATCACGTATCAGCCATATCCAGTGGAATGCATATAGGTCTGTGCCGATCATCATGAATTGGCCATATCAATCATAATGCACATATGCTGTTGCCAATCCTTACTCTTCGGCTGTATTGATTGTAATTTTTTGAACACTGGGGCTGATCATTATGCATCGGCCATACCTATCAATCTTAAATTGCGCATGCTTCTGCCAATCATCATGCATTGGCCAAATCAATCATAATGCACATACATTGATGCCAATCATAGCATAATGGCCATAATATTAATCATTAAGTGCAATCTAGAGATGCATATTTCACAAATGGCAACCGCTATTTGCCACAATCATACCTCAGTGTCATTGGTGCAATGAAATTATTGTCCTCAGCCTATGTTGGGCTATCCTTTACAGTCTGGCCAGTAATGTGTTGCCAAATATCTTTTGCCCACTCTATTGACCCAGAACATGTCCAGCCAGGATTAGAATTTTCCTAAGTATTACTGAAATTTTATGGGGAATGGCAAAAAACGGAGTTTTTGTATCCCTTATCAAGGTCTTACTTTTTTGAAGTGAAGCATTGAAAGCTTTTCCACTATTTTTTTGTGGCTTCAAACTGCCAAATTTTCAATACATTTTGAATGTTGGTGATGCAATTGTGCACTTTTGGTAACAATTAGACAGGAAATAATGTATCTAGCAGGAATCTCATGGATTCACACTAGATTGTAATTTTCCTACTTACGAATGGAATCTCACTGCTCCTAAGTGATAAATTTTCAATACAAATGGAATTGTGCAGTTTTATTTATAATTACATAGACAATAATTTATAAGGGTAGATATACGTAGACATTCCACACCAGTTGCCTCTGGTTGCTTCTTAAAGGTAGATATATTCTACGCCTGCATGGCTGGATCCAGCCATGATATAAGCACTGATAGGTAGGTATTCATTATCTGCATTGATTATAAAACACCCTGCCAACACCATCATTCAAATTCCAATCCTTGAAGAAGTGTAGTTAGCCTTTGCCATCAATCTTGATTGTACCAAGGAGTCTTTAGGGCAGTGCATTGGTATTCAGGAAGGAACTATCTAGTGCTATTCTTCACAGTCTGGAAGCTTAGAACAACCTTCACTGGAGGACAAACTAAAATGAGGCAATCAGATTAGCATAAACTATGATTATTAACGCAAGACTAGCTGCTCTCCAAAGGAGAATAGATTTTGAAAATTGAATTGAAAAGGCACCTAATAGCACAATATCTAAATCCATGACTATCATTTGCATCACTCTAAGAAAACAAAATCATTTTTAGTGTATTTCTTGTGTTGTTCATTGCAATACAGTTAGATTAAATCACAATCATACCTGAGTAGAGGGTGTAGATGAATGTTACTGTTTTCAATTTTTATGATAATTTTTATATAGTTTTATGGACATATATTGTTTAACTAAAATTCAGAGGAGATATTCCTAGACAACTCAAGAGATACAATACTAAGCCTTGTTAGCATTTTTTGAAAATTTTATTTAATAATATGGCATTTTACCTAATAAATCAACATGCTATTTAATTTCTTTATGTTCATATGTAAGCCTTCTTGTTTGATTTACCTAAAATTGGCATTTAATTCTATGAAATTTCTATTTTGATGAGTCATCAGAGTTGTTTGTTTACTAATCTTTAAATAACACCTCTTCTATACTAGTGCTTGTATAGTGCTACAAGAACTATTGTACTTTTCCTGTTCTTGTTAAAAAATTCCTGTTGCATCTGAAGTGGGTAAGGGGGTAAAATCTTTATGAAATTCTCAATGTGCATGAAAAAATCCATTTCTGAAAAATTGCCCTGAAGACCAAGGATGCAGCACCACAGCCAAGTAATATATTTTCCATGATTTATCTTTGTTAGAAAGTCCTTGCATCTTCTATTTTTATTTCAAAGTATTTTTTCATAATATTTTATCAATGTATTGTATTGTATTTATTTCAGCATGCTTGTCTAATGGCCACTTCCATTGATTATTTTCTCTGCTTAGAGGCACTATTTTTAGTTGCTCACAGTTCTTTATAAATCCATACTACTTGAAATTGCTTGAGCTTACTAGCATCAGGTTTGAATACTGAATATTTATATTGCATATATGTATAGTGTACTTCACCATACATACAAAATTTATGTGTAGTGAATAGGTACTCAAGTACCAAATATAGTATATAAATTATTTGTAAGAAGATATACTAAAGAAGAGCAGTGATAGTACTTTGAAATATCACTGAATGTTGCTTTGTATAAGATGTTGTGCTATATTTCCTACTTGTTTTCACATTTTATTTTAGTTTGTATGACTAAAGCTATTGTAAGCTCAATATACTTCACTTGTGGAAGAGCCATGAGTCTCTCATTGTTTTTATGAATAAATATTAATTCATTCTGATGCTCTAGTGTATCTTCTTAAACCATTTCTATGGTCTAAATTTGTAGCATAGCCTTACCTTGTTTAATTGTTTCTGCAGGACAGTTGCTGCAAGTGTGGCAAACAAAGAACTTGCTGCAAGAGGTGCAACAGCAAATGCTGCAAGGGCACCAATAGATGCTGCTTGACATCTATTCAATGCTGTCACTGCTGCTCCAGATATAACAGTCAAGAAGACTCATGCAGTTGTAGCAGCTGTTGCAACAGTAGCAGTGTTAGTGGTAGCAAGTGCTGCAGTTGTTGCAACACTGATGGGGAAGACCAATGCTGCTACAGTGGTGGCAAGAACAAAGCTTCTTGTTGTTGCAAGTCACAAGAACAACATCCTGACACAGAAGCACATCTAGACAGCATGGGCACTACACCTGTGCAGAGAAAATGGCAGGTAGGTGCCTTGCTGCTTGTGGGTTTTACATGTTGAGGTCCGTGTATATAGAGGATGAAATAAGTTGACTGTATTTATTTGTGTAATATTGATTAGTTTGTATTATCCCTCTAAACATTAATGCATGGTTTCAACTATTTTTTAATGATTTTTCTAATGGAACCTTCACATTGCGTCTGTTGCAGGTGTATCCCGGCAAAAACAAATTCTGCTGCGATGGTCGCATTGTCATGGCACAGCAGCCTGGCATTTTTTATGTCACGCTGGGACTTATAATTATCACCAATGCCCTCTTCTTTGCCTTTGAGTGAGTTAACTCTTCTATATAAATCTAGACTAGGCACTCATTGTAAATAACCACTACTAATTAAGTACCTATGTGCTATGGTAGCTTGCTGACTCAGTGATGGTTGAGTTCTGCTAATGGGCACAACTAGAGCACATGAAATGAATGTAATTTCTGCCAATTAAGCTACATTTCCAGCTTTGAGTGACTCAATTTATATCATCCCTATTTACAAATATAATAATTTTTAAACTCTTATAACTTCTATAACTATATGGATGAATGGCACAATATATTCTTTGCACTTAGAGATTACTATAATGATAATGCTCAGAAATTATCCATGTTAAGTTTTGATAATCTAATACTAAATCTTTATTTCATCGTCTTGTGTTGCAGTTGTCCATACCTGACACTGAACCTGTCACCTATAATCCCGTGTGTGGGGGCCGTGCTCTTCTTGTTTGTGCTGTCCACGCTGCTGCACACCAGTTTCTCCGACCCCGGCATCATACCACGCGCTACTTATGAAGAAGCACTCTACACCGAGAGGCAGATAGGTATGCACAACTTAATCTTTTTAAGATATTTACCTTGATTTTTATTTGTAAATAAATTTCTCGAGCTACTTATGAAGAAGCACTCTACACCGAGAGGCAGATAGGTATGTGCAACTTAATCTTTTTAAGATATCTCATTGATTTTTATTTGTAAATAAATTTCTCGTGCTACATATGAAGAAGCACTCTACACTGAGAGGCAGATAGGTATGCACAACTTATTCTTTTTAAGATATTTTCATTGATTTTTGTTTGTAAATAAATTTCTCGTGCTACATATGAAGAAGCATTCTACACTGAGAGGCAGATAGGTATGCACAACTTAATCTTTTTGAGATATTTACCTTGATTTTTATTTTTAAACAAATTTTGATCAACCATTAGCTGCATTCAATTTAGGTATATATTCATTTGATTGATACCAATTTAATCCCTAGAGATTTTTTGCATTAATATCTTTGCTTTAACTTTATTATATTTGTTGTCATTTCAACCACTTCTGACATGACAGATAAAAAACTTGATTGTTTATAAAGCATCATTGTATCAATGAGGGTTTGTTATAGCATGTTTTGTAATTCATACATGAATATAAGATAGGTACTCTATCATGCCTACCTGTACCTGATAGTGTCATAAAACATATACCATCTTGTTTTGTTCATTTGTTAGAATAACTTAGGTAGGTATAATAATATGTAGGTAAATATATGTATGTATAATAATAAGTAGGTAAATATATATATGTAGGTAGGTAAATATATGTACCAAAATTAGATTAGTTTTTGAATGAAAAAAAATTGTATATTAATCATTTTTAACAAATTTGTTGCTGGAATTATCATTATGATAGAACTTCCCTCACTATTGCTATACCAATTTCAATCTGCCAGCACAAAGATTTGTTCATATAACTACTTCAATTCTGCAAGTTTGATTGAAGACCAGAGCATGCTTTTCATTAAAATCTTCTTTTTCGTTTTTTTTCCAACAAGTTGAACAAAATTTTTTGCTGGCGCCAGAAGATAAAATGAATGAATAAATAAAAATCAGCCTTATAAATTGTGACTGGTACATTGCGTGCTCCCTCTATGATTGATGCAAATTTCAAATTAATGTGATAAACTAATGCACCAACTAGATTCATTGATGCTTCATGCCCATGTGGCCACAACTTTTATTTTTCCACCTTATTTTCACATTTTATTGATCATATTTCAATTCAAGTGGTATTTTAGGGCTGTAAACGTCTATTTTCAATTCTAAAATCGTTTTAGCTCGAATAATTTTCTGAGCTCACCAAATTCTCTCTTCTAAAACATCACATTCCTCAACCAGTTGGTCTTTCCCTTCGACCAAACTTACATCATTCATCATCCATACAAACATCATCCATCATCAAAGCAAACCTCGTCCATCATCCAAACAAACATCATACATTATCCATACAAATATTATCCATCATCCAAACAATCATCCTCCCTCACACCAACATCCCTTTCCTCAAACGCATTACAAGTATAATCTCACATATTATTGTATTTAAGTACCATTGATCGCTCAGAAGTTGTGAACGAAGGAGCTGGTCTGAGCTACCGCCCCCCACCACGCACCAAAGAGATCACCATCAACGGCGTGCCTGTTAAACTCAAGTATTGCTTTACCTGCAAGATCTTCAGACCTCCTAGAGCCTCTCACTGCTCCATCTGCGATAACTGTGTCGGTCAGTGGCTGTCTTGTGTTGCGTGCTTGTCTTTTCAATTTAATTGATTATTATTATGTCTGTCATCATCTCTACACCGTTAAATTAATTGCATGCTTAATTAATCGTTTGGTAACTGTATCTAATAATCTTTGATTACAAACTGTTACCCGGATGCGTTACCCCTACTTTTTAAGTCTATCAGTCGAAACACGTTTTACGACGCTAAGTTGCAGTTGATTGTGGTGAATTTCAGAATTTGTTGTCTCGCTCCTCAGTTGTAGCACGTTTTATGTCACGAGTTGCAGTTGGTCGTGAAATATACCTATGTTCGCGTCATTCTCCTTAGTTGAAGCGCGTTCCATGTCTGTAAATTGCAGTTGAATGGGCCAAAGTCGTGGTTGAAGTAGCATTTTTACCGGCTAGTGCTAGTTATCATGTAACATCCTGTGCAGTCTGTAGTGTGATAATCTACGGTACCTGTCAGTTAGCGTCTCAGTGGTCAATACCGAGGCTTTTACAGCATTTTTCTGGCTTTATTGTTGCCCCTCAAGCAAGTTGCGAAGGCTTAACGATTTTTGCTGAAATTATAGCCCTGTCATCCAGCAATTTGCGTTACATTGTGATCTAAACTTCTGCTTAAAATCTTTGTCTTGTCCAGACTTCGTACATGTAACGATGTTCGGTAATAAAATATGACACGACTCAAGCCACGTTTTATCGTGCAAGTGAAGAATCTGTCTGTGATAGTAAAAAGTTTCTAGACTTTGTTACAATGTTTTTTGGAGTGGTAGTAATCTATGTCCTCGTAAGACCTCTGCTAAAACTCGTGTCGCGTGAAGCTTGATGGAAAAACTCGTGAAGCTTGATGGAATCGCGAGTCGGCAGGAAAAAATTTGGCGGCACTGTACTTTGTATTTGTGCTCTGTAATTTGTACATTGACTAAAGTAGTACGCTGTACATCACACAGTCCATATGATGCACAAGCAAACCGCCTTATCAAAGTTGTTTGTAATTTTATTGCTACAAAATGCGAGAATAGTTTCGTGAAAAAGCGCGCCGTATCGTTCATCCATGAGGTTGACCAGAGTCTGAGGTTATCCTGGGAAAGAGGTTAATCTTGTTAGAAGATTTATTCGAATTAAGAGGCCACCTCGGCGTTGCTCAGATAAGGACATTCATGTGAAAACGCTAGTCTAGCGAACGCTTACGCATTAACTAAAAATGCGACCACTTAGCTCCTGAGCGGAATCCATGCAATATGACTGTGCCTGTTATAATACCGGGCATTGAACTGGCAAACTGCGTTTCACGAAAATGGAATGAAAGATTCAATCCTTCATTATATATTGAGTGCGCATCCGAGTGACGATAATGTACCTCATAGTGTTGGTAATAATGAATATTGCCTCACTGTGGTTTTGCGTTGTGCGCGCTCACGAGGATTATTGCAAATCGTTATATCATTATAGTGTGAGGTGAGAAGCTCGGCGTATGGGCTGGGGCCGGAATGCTTCATAAGTTCGATGCCGGCGCTGGGGTCAGAATGCTTCAAAGTTCGATGCCAGCGCTGGGGTCGAAATGCTTCAAAAGTTCAATGCCGGCTTTAGGACTGGAATGTTTCAAAAGTTCGATGCCGGCCCTGAGGTCGGAATGTTTCAAAAGTTCGATGCCGGCCCTGAGGTCGGAATGTTTCAAAAGTTCGATGCCGGCCCTGAGGTCGGAATGCTTCATAAGTTCGATGCCGGCCCTGAGGTCGGAATGCTTTAAAAGTTCGATGCCGGCTCTGGGGTCGGAATGTTTCATCGATCTTAGTGCTGAGCTTGACGAAGCAAGCGACGATGTGGAGAATGTGAAGTGTTCTCAGACGTGAATAATTACGCGGTCATTTAGTAGCTCATGCATGAAACCAGTAGCCTCGAACAGCAAACTGTGCAGAATTTTCGGGCAATTTCTTTTTAGTGAGGAGGCAGGAGCAAGAAATTAGATTGAAATAAAAATAAATGGAGCACCTTTAACGGTTGAGTTTTGTTTGTAAGTTTATTTCCAGTTACTAATTCTTTTTATATGACGAACTTCTTGCAGTTACCGTTAATTTTGTACTTAGATACTGTGAACTGAACTTACGAATATTTTATTGATGCTTGTTTCGGTTAATAAAACTCGTAGTTTAACAAACCCTGCGATGGTCGCGGGCTAAAACTGACCAAATTGGCCCTTTACGTTTACGCTCGGTTTCGTTACGGTCGATTTTTGTAGGCGTGAATCATAAATGTAATCCACGCGACCACTGTATGATTAAACTGATGCTACTTACCGCAAGATTTTAGAACATTGTTTAGTTATGAATCAATGATATTAAATGCCTAGTTTTATTTTCCGAATTTCCACAGGTTGCAGTTGAATACTTTAATGCATGATTAAATTGATTTCCGTAGATCCTTGAATTTTTGTAATAAAACCCACAGTTTCTTGTTCAAAAATGCCAATATGTTGCAGTTGAATATTTTGATGTATCGTATGATTACCGTTGATTCGCAAGTGCCATCAATTGACTCTATTACTCAAGATTGAATGTTTTCTTGCCCCCAGAGCGTTTCGACCACCACTGCCCGTGGGTGGGCAACTGCGTGGGCAAGCGCAACTACCGATACTTCTACCTCTTCCTTGTGTCACTGGCCTTCCTGTGTGTGTTTATCTTCTCGTGTGTCATAGCCCACCTCGTCATATGTGAGTAAAGTGTGTCATATGTGAGTAAAGTGTGTCACAGCCCACCTCGTCATATGTGAGTAAAGTGTGTCATAGCCACCTTATCGTATGTGAGTAAAGTTCTATAAATAATATCAGTCACATTCTTGTTGTATTACAAAAGATAAATTACAAAATATTGTCCCACTCTTACTTTGTATTTCCTTACTACAGCTTGTCCCCTTCACCAGCCATCTGAGCACACGCGTATAGCTTAAACACTCGTAAATTGCTAATGAACTCCTCATTTATTGCTATCAACCTTATTAAAAGAAATCTAAGTAGTGACTATGTCATTATAAAAAAATTGTCTGGTCACTGACTTGCATGACTCTTGTCAGACCTCGTTTAGTCGCGTGTTTCTATATCTATATTCACGCATTTGCCTTGTAAAATTCGAAGTAGATTTGGAACCAATTAAAATAAAACAGTTGCTCGTAAATTCGGAATGTTCATTGTCGGTTCCTGTGCCGGCCTAAATCATTCTCAAGTTTACTCTGGTAATACGGTACAATCATAAAGCTCGTTAATTGTTGAAATAGGTACGTGAATCAAGTAAAGTACAAAAATTAATACTTAATTACCTGACTCGGGTTAAAGAGAATGTCAAGTACCGAACCTGACTCGAGTGAAGCACTATAATAAGTACTAAATCAACTGAAAATGTTGACTAAACTCAGTATATATGTTGCAGACATGCAGGAGGCACCGGAAGGCTCGTTCATGAAGGCGGTGCAGAACAACCCAGCGTCGGTGGTGGAGGGCGTCGTCTGCTTCATAAAGTGTCATGTGTGAGTAAAGTGTGTCATAGCCCACCTCGTCATATGTGAGTTAAGTGTCATGTGTGAGTAAAGTGTGTCATAGCCCACCTCGTCGTGTGTGAGTAAAGTGTGTCGTTTGTGAGTAAAGTGTGCATGTCATTGGCCATTACAGGCGCAGGCGTCGTGAAGTGCAGTGTAGCGCGCATTTAGTTCTATAAATAGTTTCCGTCCGTCGCATTCTCGTTGTATTACAAAATATGAATTAAAAACATTTTACCACTCTATGCACTCTTACTTTGTATTTCCTAACTCGAGCTTGTCCACTTCATTAACCACCTAGTGATTATGTCATTCTAAAGTAAGTGTCTGGTCACTGACTTGCATGACTCTTGTCAGACCTCATTTAGTCGCGTGTTTTTATTTCTATATATATTAACGCATTTGCCTTGTGAAATTCGAAGTATGATTGGGAACAAAAATAAAGCAGTTCCTCCTAGATTCGAAAGGTTCATTACCGGTTCCTGTGCCGGCCTAAATCCTTCTCAAGTTGACTCGGGTAATACGGTACAATCATAACGTTTAATATTTGTTGAATTACGTGAATCAAATAAGGTACTAATTGATTTCCTCAATCTGGTAAAGTGTTAAATTACTTGACTCGGGTTAAAGAGAATATCAAGTACCAAACCTGACTCGAAGGAAGCATTATAATAAGTACTAAATCACCTGAAAATGTTGACTAAACTCAACATATATAAATTACTTGACTCGGGTTAAAGAGAATATCAAGTACCAAACCTGAACTCGAGGGATGCATTATATTAAATACTAAATGACCTGAATATGTTGATTAAATTCACCATTTATGTTGCAGACATGCAGGAGGCACCTGAAGGCTCGTTCATGAAGGCGGTGCAGAACAACCCAGCGTCGGTGGTGGAGGGCGTCGTCTGCTTCATCGCAGTCTGGTCCATCCTGGGACTAGCAGGCTTCCACACCTACCTCACTACCAGCAACCAGACCACAAATGAAGATGTTAGTGGTGTGGTGCTGGTGGTGAATAGCTGTATGGTGGCGGTGGTGACTGGCTGTAGGGTGTTGGTGGTGGTTGTAACTGTGGCTGTAAGTTGGTGGTGGTACACTAGTGTCTTCACCACCTCCACCCAGACCACCAGTGTAGACGTCAGGGTATGGTGGTGCTGGTGGTGACTGGGTGCGTGGTGTGGTGGTGACTGTGGGTTGGTGGTGTGGTTCGCGCCTCGCGGTGGTGTGGTTGGTGGGAAAAATGAGGGTTCGCTCGCTGTAATCATAATATCTAAGAAGCAAAAAAATCTGAATTCTTCCTTTGTGAGGTAATGTTGCTATTGTTGTTTAAGGACGGTTGAGTGGTATTGATCTAGTGGTGATGGCACGTACGTAGTAACATCAAAAGAGCAGCATTGTTCTAGTGGTACCTAGTATTGTTGAAAAAATGTACATATTGCCTCCGCTAGGGAAGGCATCCACCAGCTGGCCTAGCAAGTGGTAACTTTGCCGTAAGTGGGAAAATTTCAGTGTTAGAAATTTACCTTCATTCCTGCATCTACTCACTCTACGTATTTTAATGTCTTGCTTGATGTCATCATACGCGATTGTTACAGCAACAGGAAACTTTAACCTGCTAGAGTGTAATTAAGGTATTGAGGAACTACATTCGAATTTTGTTTCCAGTTCTGCTTGCTTAGTCCGTGAACAATAAACGAATGCTTTTATGGCAATGGAGTTGCTTCTTATATCGTAATTTCTAAGTTCCAAAATTGATAATTATGAAAATATTGGAATATGTAAGTGAGATAATATTTATGTTTTCGTGGACCAGATCAAGGGTTCGTTTAACCCCCGCCGCCGCAGCCAGCAGCAGCCCCAGCAAGTCAACCCTTACGGCTACGGCAACTTGTGCCTCAACTGCCTGGCTGTGCTCTGTGGGCCTGTCACCCCCAGCCTCATAGGTGAGGTGCTCTAGATAACCTGCCTCATAGGTGGGCTCCTCTAGATAACCTGCCTCAAAGGTTGGGATTCTAGTCTCTAGACTGCTCTCAAGTCAGGCTGTTTCAGGCCAGCAACCTGAAAGTTACACTAGTCGCTTTAAGCTCTAAAATTATCCTAACGCATCTAACCAAGAGTTTGACTTTATGGTAAAGCTCCTGAGCATTCTATCGAGGTTAATAACGATACTGTGAACTTGGTTTTTATTGTTAAATTATCGCGTTCCTCGCGTATTCGGATTGCGTAACTTTTGCTATCAACCTTTCCTGTGAAAACAAATATTCTAGAAGAGAAAGTTTACCGACGAAATTTCTAGTTCTATTTATGTTTTATCAAAACTGCATTAAATATTGCGTTTGGTACGCTGGTGTTCCAATACGCAGCAGTGAAATATCATAGTTGGTACACATATGGCCCAATACGCGGCGATCATTATTGAGTTGGCCCAATACGCGATCATTATTGGCCCAATACGCGAGCATTATTGAGTTGGCCCAATACACATATGGCCCAATACGCGGCGATCATCACTGAGTTGGATATACACCAATTTCTTACTGTGTATCATTTACATTTGCCACTCCTAGGCCATCTCACGCAACAGCGTGTAACGTAGGATCTTCTTAGCTTGACTGAGCATCTCTCAAGCTTACACTTCTTATTCTTTGTGTAATGAAGCTGTCCCGCTCTCAGAATCTTGATGATACTGGCTCACCGCTCCCCATTTTATCTATTCCTTCAGTCTTGTAAATATAGCGTCTGAATGAAATTTGGTGCTCCGATGTATCTTTTTCAATTTTGTTGTTTGCATTTACTGAGACCTCTAATGCCGTCTCGTGCGTGTAGAACTTTAGATAAACTACCTCCAAATTTGGCTCCAGTTTTATAACCCGTCTCATTAGGGGTACCTCAAGATTGCAGATAGCTACTGCGCGCTCGCGGTACAATAAATTGACGATTGTTTTATTTCATTTGTGTGCTTAGGTGGCCTGACGTTATGCGCCATAATCATCTCTCATTCCTGAGCCTCAAGTTGAGAATTGGATAGCGATTTTTGTTACATCTCTCGGTCTGGTTGTTAGACGCCGTCGAGTTGTTTCTTGAACTCCAAAAAATCACAATTTTACACCATCAAGTCTTCCTGGTCATTGTTCCTCTATCAATTATGTTGTGCGCTGTAGACATAGAAACACTTTATCGGAAAAGCGTGTGTGTTTTCATGAATCTTTCGATTCCAGATCGGCGTGGAATTGTAACTGCTGAGTACATGAGAAACTTCAAACAGCAACAACATCCGCCGCCGCCTTCCTCTCAACAGCTGCAGCAACAACAGCTGAATGCTGCTGCCGGCATGCAGATCATAGAACAGCCGCAACAGCTGCAGCCACAGCTGCCTACATCTTCCGCTTATGGCTCTTTAAAGCTCCAACCCATGGTACTAATATTTATGTTTTAGTTGTGATTCTGTCGATTTTCTGTCGATTATATTAGACTTGTTTTGTTTATTGTAAATTTAATGCATCTTCACTTATCATGTGAGCAATTCATCTTCGCGTTTATTTCTCTGATTTTGCCGGTATTATTAGGATGTGTCATGGTCACGATAGCGGGCAGGGAACTCTAGCAGATGGACTGTTCTTGAGTCCCAGATGTTGGTGTGTCGGAGTGATAGTTTTCCTAATACTGCTCAGTACAAGTTTTCTATTTATAATGAAAATATATTGCGTACTAGAAGCTTCATTATTGCTAGATAAGTTCCGGTCAACTTTATGCGTCATAGAAAAAAAGGGAATTTCATTTATGGACAGGCAAGTAAAACTTTAATTTTCACCAATTTTATTTTTTCATTTTTAACCATGCGAATAAAATTTCAGCTGAGTATTTCCTTTCCAGAAAATTCAGGCAAAATGTAATAATTTGTATTATTGCGGCAGGCCAACAAGAGCAGCAGTACAGGCGCGCCCTCAGTTCCTAGTAACGGAGTTGGCAGCGCGTACTTCCCTGGCAGCGGCAGTCCTGCGGCCCCAAGCGCCTCTGAGCAGCAGTACCAGTATGGCTCTTCCAGTACTCCTTCATCGCTAAACAAGTACCCACGCAAGAGCGCAGCTTCATCATCCGCTTTAAATACTCCAACACGGAAAAAATCTGCACCTTGTCAAACCAGGCCAAGTAAGTCAATTTTTTAACGCATTTCTCATTTATGGAAAAAATGCACTATTGTGCTCGCCATGTCCGTCTGTCTGTCTGCCTGTCCGTCTGTCCGTCCGTCTGTCCGTGACCTCAAGTTTTCGTCGACGAGAAAATGCGCTCTCTGTCACTCACTGCAGTGAGTACTAAGTTATATTTTTTTAGTCATTTGTTTTCTTGGTCGGAAGTTTTTCCTTCACTATAGCTTTGTGGACATGGCGTGTCTGCATGCAATAAGCAAGTGGTTCTTGTGGCTACGGTCTGTTGAGTAATTGGGAGCAAGAGAATTAATATACTAACATTCTAGTGAATATTAGTTTAATGATAACCTATATTGAATAATTGGGAAGTGAGGATCCAAACCATTTTTATAACGTAGCAAGGATAGGTATACGCCGGTCGCGCTCAGTCGAGACCGGAACAATCTAGCAAAAGTGAATGCGATTGTTTTCAAAATATCCCCAAAACTGACGAAGTAATCTAGGTTGTTTTGAGTTAGACAGAACCACAATGTAACGCAAATGTCAACATTGGCCATCAACCTAGGCTGACATTTGGTCCTATATTTATGAAAGTTCAACATACGGCAGTTATTTATATTGAAGTTTCAATTACAGTCCGTTTCACCACGATTATTTTAGTATAATAACGGGTAATTTTGTGTAATCACTTACAATCACTGTCATTACTTCCAATTATTAGTTCAATAGTCATGTTAATGTGATACATGTAAGCGATCGTCCATGCGGCTCACTTGCGACTGTCCGAAGTAAACTATGGTTATTAATAAATCCTTATTGGCATTAATAACAAGTTTATCTTACTAATATTAAACTGCCAGAATCACACGAAGCTCAAAATTCTTCAGTTTCATGAGCTACTTAGATCTGACTCTCTAATCTGAACGTCCTCCTTTATAAATATCGTTTTAACCTAGGTAAACTTTCCGATTCCTATATTTATAAGCGTAGTTAGTCGAGTAGTAATCAGGGTATCTGTTACCTTTGATGCCTAACTATCATGGTTATCTCGTGCCTTTGATGTCTAACTAACAAGTTTACCTGTTACCTTTGATGTCTAACTAACAAAGTTACCTGTTACGTACCTCTGATGCCTAACTTACAAAGATTCCTGTTACCTCTGACACCTTACTAACATGGCTATCTGGTGCCTTTGATGCCTAACTAACATAGTTACTTTCAAACCTAACCACCGTGCTAACCTGTTATCTGTGTCAAGTCTGAAGCACGGAAGTTCAGTAATTTGAAAGCAATAAATTAATAGCATGCTTGAGGCACCACCCGTAAATATCGCTCCTAAACGCGAGTGTTTGCAGCGGTGGCGGCGGGGGGCGGCCTGAAGGAGGGGTGGGGGGAGCACGCCCCCCTTACTGCTTTCTCAACTTCCTCTAACTCAGGTTATTATTATTATATTATATTACATTATTATTAACTTCAGGTTAGCTCACTACTGCTGCTTCTTCATCTTATCAGTTCAACTATTTCGTTTCTTGTTATCTTTATCTTTTCAATTCCATTTAAACATTTTGTTTTATGCAGGCATCTTCGTCAGTTTTTTTTTCATGAAACCAATAATATTGTCAGGAACTATGCTATTTGTTATTCATCCAATCTTACTCAATATCATTTACTTGAAATATATGTTTTATTTCTTTTTTCTATTCCACTATTCACCTCCTTGTGCCTACTTTCGTCACGCATTAATAAGGTTATTTTTACCTAACTTATTCAGTTATTCAAGCCGTTAGGAATGCGTTCACTGCTCCTGACTCATCTCCATTCATCAAATCATTCATCATCTCCATTCATTTTGTGTGAATGTATGTCTTCCGTTTCACCTCTGCCCAGTCCATGTTTCCCGTACTCTATGTTCTTTCAAATTTTCTATTTTCAGAACAATTTTCCCAAATCAATTTATCTTAAAATTATATCGCCTGGCAAGTCTTTAGTATCATATACTAATTTTCCTGATTATAACATTGAAATAGGGAATGCCAATTTTACGCGTGCCAATTTTAAGTATCATAAATTAATTCTCCCGATAATAATTTTGAAATAGGAAGCGAGGGAATCAGATGACTTGATCCAAATCTCGCCCCACAGTGCGGAGTGCCTCGTGAACTTCTTTCCCTAGACCTGCCGCGATCCTACTCAATGCCTGCATGTGTCAGTAGCTATTGTTTCCTTTTATTTCTTGTGGGGGTTTTAACTAACTCTGGGGTTTAAAAGGAAGCGTGCTCATTTTATATTTATTTATTTCTTATATTTATATCTGATACATGCCTGCATGCGTCAGTAGCTATTGTTTCCTTTGTGTATTTCTTGTGGGATTTTAACTAACTCTGGGGTTTAAAAGGAAGCGTGCTCATTTTATATTTATTTATTTCTTATATTTATATCTGACATATTTAGCCTCTTGCGTATTCATTTGTAAGATTGTAAAATGAGAGTTTTTATTTTCTGTGTACATGGATTATATTTTTGGCTTGTGTTCGCAGAATTCCCGAGTGCCGTGTTGAATTACTTTCATTTTCAATTATACATTCATCGTGAAAATATATATGCACTATCCGATGTGTGAGTGCCGTGTTTGTTTATCGTGTGTCTTGTCGAACCATTTGCGTGGACAACATTGCTCACTTTTTATTGTTATAATCTTATTGTTTCCGATGTTTTTTTAATGCTTGAGTGTGTGATTTTGCTACATTGTCTGTTGGACTACAGGAACCGACAAGGTGAAATTCAACAGTTCCAGTAAAAATCAGTTTTCAGTTGTCCAGCATTGCTTGGTTGTTACCGTGCAAAAAAGTTACTGTTGTGCTTTCAACATAGTTTACATTGAAAAAAAAAAGAATTTACACGATGGAAAATAGGTATTTAAAGTTAGCCGTGTGCTATCTCCCCTCAATTCTGAAGCACGAGTGTAGTTCTGGAGCCGTACTATCATAAATAGTTACTTATTCGTAACTCCGTCAGGTAATCATTGACGGTTTTTTAAGATAAATCCACCAATCACAGACTAGAAATCAGCCCCATTTGTATTTAGGCCTTTACGTGTACTTTAACAAGATTTGATACCAGTACACCCCGGTAATATACCTGCCAGACGTGAGTGCTGAAGTGGTGTGTACTGTACTTCACAATGAAATGTGTGACGTGTATCGTATGTAACAGTACCTGCAGCACCAGGGTACTCTACGGACGTCCCAAGTATCAGTGGTACCTTGACGAAGTGCTCAGCACCTCATCGTCGGTACCGCCGTTTCTTCACTGCACGCTCCGTCGTTACGAGAATAGAGCCGCCCGTTTAGTTCCGTTGTGTGGATACTAACGCCCGTTTAGTCCAGTAGGTCCGTATTGTGGATACCAACGCCCGTGTAGTCCAGCAGTTGTGGATACTAACGCCCGTTTAGTCCAGTAGTTCCGTATTGTGGATACCAACGCCCGTTTAGTCAAGTAATCCCGTATTGTGGATACCAACGCCCGTTCAGTCTAGTAGTTCCGTATTGTGGATACCAACGCCCGTTTAGTCTAGTAGTTCCGTATTGTGGATACCAACGCCCGTTTAGTCAAGTAATCCCGTATTGTGGATACCAACGCCCGTTCAGTCCAGTTGTTCCGTATTGTGGATACCAACGCCCGTTTAGTCCAGGAGTTCCGTATTGTGGATACCAACGCCCGTTTAGTCCAGTAGCTCCGTATTGTGGATACCAACGCCCGTTTAGTCCAGTAGTACCGTTTGTGGATACCGACGCCCGTTCAGTCCAGTAGCTCCGTATTGTGGATACCAACTCCCGTTCAGTCCAGTAGTTCCGTATTGTGGATACCAACGCCCGTTTAGTCCAGGAGTTCCGTATTGTGGATACCAACGCCCGTTCAGTCCAGTAATTCCGTAGTATGGATACAAAAGCCTTCAACGTTCCTCAATATATATGGAAGATGAGCGGAAATAAAACTTGTCATTTAAAAATAAAATGTCTCGGAACTGCATCTTTCATTGTAAATTATCTAGCATGTGTACAATTTCTGCGGATCCACGGTTATTTACTAAACACTTGAAAACGTTCCGAAAATAATTTTTCGATCTAATCAGTTTTCGATGACACTTAATTAAATTACTTGCTTACAATCGGGCTAAAGAAGTGAGAAATAAAAGAAAATTTTACGAATTACCTCTAGCCAACGCTCATCTCTTTACTAAATACACTAAATGGCACCAGGGAAGTTTGTGATTTTGAAGTACACCAATGAAGTTTCTACTCAATACAACAACGTACTGTACTCGGAAATTTTCCACTCAATTCAGGCACGTACTCGAAAAGTTTCCACTCGACACCGTGGTGCGGTCTCGGGAAGTTTTCTTAAACTAAAGAAGTTTCCGTAAACGAAAGAGGTATCAGTATCACGGAACTGAAAAAGTTTAACCTTAAAGAATTAGGTAAGTTTCCCTAAAGGAAGGAAGTTTCCCGAAACGAAGTAGGTTTCCTTAGAGGATGGATGTTTCCAGAAACCGAATGGTTTCCTTGAAGAATGGAAGTTTACCTAAACAGGAAGTTGCCCTAAACTGAGGAAGTTTCCCTAAACTGAACAAGTTCCGTTACACTGAACAAGTTCCCCTAAACTGAGGAAGTTTCCCTAAACTGAACAAGTTCCGTTACACTGAACAAGTTCCCCTAAACTGAGGAAGTTTCCCTAAACTAAGGAAGTTTTCTCAAAGCGTTCATCTCTGAGGCGACCCTCCTTGGATGCATCGTAAAGAAGAAGCGCATAAACCAGGCTCGTACTCTTCGTACACTCTTTCACTTTCGTTACAAGCAACCCTCCACAATTGTAATCAAGCGTAATTATATGTGCATTGACACACTACCGATCATATCTTGCGTGTGCATAAAATTTATTTGCAAACGATTGTAGTTCCTTGATACTCCTTTTTGATTCATCACATTTTCTCGGGCGCACTTTCTATCAACGCTTTCGCTGGGTAATCACACTTGAACTTTCGTACCTAATAATTTGTGTGTGGATTTTGAAGGACACAACTGATGGATCTTAACTCACGCTTTAGTTTTGTTCGTGCACCACTGCTTCCATCACCGTGCAGCGTCGTGTTCGTCATCACTTTCTCACTCCTCATGATCTTCGTATATGCAATAATATTTCACTCATCTTTTTCATTAGATGTGCCAATTATTTATAAAATACTTACGGATTCCATTATCGAATTTCTGGTATTGTTCTATGCAATTTCCATGTAACCGCAATGATCCGCTATATTCTCCTTCCACTAAGTTAGTTTATTTAATACTGAACATGAAATGAGTATCTGGTGCACGTTACTAACCTTCTCTCATCAGTCTGCTTTTTTCAAGGAGCTGAGATTTTTGGGTATTTTCATTTGCTTTTATTTATTTTTGAACGAAATTATTCAACTGTGTTGTTGAGCTCATACTTGAATAATTACACTAATGCTGATGATAATTTTGATGTAAAAATGTTTCGCTTTTTTATATATACCTGCACTATTATTGGACATATCCATTGAAATTTAAGATGAAATAGTATAGTAACTTCTGATAATAAAAATACTGATGATAACTTTTATTGTGATAAGTCACGATAAGTATTCATGGACATTTAATGGATATAGTAAAATTTGAGGTGGCATAATTGATGGACGTTCTCCCCCATTCGCAGCTGACACCGACGATGATGATGAAGACATGGTTGTGGTGGCCGCACCCGTAACCACAAACACCACCAGCATCGCCACCGTCGTCAGCAGCCACCAGCAGCAACATCACAACCAGCAACCACGCTCCCGTAAATACGACGTCAATAACATTAACTACTCAGTGACAACTGCAGCGGGCGTCAGCAATGGCAACTTGGGCTACAAGGCCAACAATAACTTTGTACCGGCAAACAACAACTTCATAAACAATAACAACAGAGACGCTCTGCATCACCAAAGGCGTAACCTCAACGTTGCCTTCCCTGGGTCCAGCAATCCTGAGTTCCTGGATATTCTCAGCTCAGATCTGGGCCACCTTGCCCAGCACTCTCTGGACGCAAGCGGCCCAGTCTCTAGCAGCCAGGTGTACCTGCTGGACTCGGCTTATGACCTGGACTTGGACTCCATAGGGGACGTATCTTTGTCCCAGCACAGCGAGTCCCAGCCTTCCCAGTCTGAGTCGTCCCAACGAGAGCTCATTCATACTGACGGCGCTGCCATCGTGTAGTAATCCTGGTTCAACCTTTCATGAATGGTAATGGAAAGCATTGGCTGTGCTGACGTGGCTCTCCGTACTTCTATATATCAAGATGAGATATTATCATCATTGTTTCTTCAGTTTTTCTTTCATTGTTGCAATTTTATAAGCTATTTGAGTCCAGATTTTGTTGATTATCTTGAAAATTTTCTTGTGCTCGTGAGAATCAAATTGGAGTACATAACTTATACTTCTGAAAATTTCTGCCTATTGTTACCAAAAATCAAATTATACATAATTTGTACTATCTCTTGTACTTTACATTTAATTTTTATCAGAAATTTACGAGTCGATTACAGCTCTTGTTAGACGTTGATAGGCGACTTTGAGATCGAAGTCGCCTATCGTCTTCATTCGAGATTGAATGAAGACGCCAGAATTCACAATGAAGACGCCAGAGCTAAATGCGGCCAGAGGAGCTCTGGTGCATGTATGTGACATTTTTCTCCACGTTAATGACATTTAAGCAACGCTGATTACGAATTAATTTCAACAAATCAGCGTTTAATCAACGTTATTTCAACATCATGGTGGGTAGCAATTTTAATACTGCAAGAACTCTTATGCTGGAGGCACTTCCGTGAAGCCATCCATGTTTATGCAACGCAAGGCTGGAACCTGCAACGTCTGTGCTTGGTGTTCATGCATATTCAGTTATTTTGTGTGCTTGTTTGATAATTTACAATGAAATTTATTAATCTTGACCTGGAATCTATAAGTTTACATTTATGTTTATATCTAGAAATTCTGGTGGTCGCAATCGTTAACTAAAATCAAAAATGATTTTATCCAGTGTAATTCTCTTTTGGATTTTAAACATAAACATTGCGTTTGTGGCACATCTGATGTGATGTGTAAAATGTCTTATTTGGCTTTTTTTGAGCCAGCAAAAATTTTGTTATTTATGTTTTTAGCGACTCTGTCATGCGTGTAAAAATGTAATCAAAAAGTAAAGAAGCGTTTGAATATTTGGTAGGAATATGTTGTTATTTTGCCCTCCTTATAGTGAGAAATACGGCATGATGGTTGTTTTATATAAGTAAATGTGCCAATTCGTATTTTTAATATCAGTTGGACTCTCTACGTCTTCTTCATGTAACGTTTAGTTTTTAAGTCTTTTTATTTTATAGGTTTTCTTATGGGGTTCCAAACTACTCGTTTTATTGTCGGTATTTCACAAACTGCCGATTACTCAGTGAGAGTAAATTCATTATTTTACGAAACCAAATTATGTGCTTGTGTCTAAATGTAATCAATGTTACTATGCAGAACATTTTGAAACTGGGCAATTGTTTGATGTACGTATGAAATACGTTTGGAACGTATGAAATAGTATATGTATCATTATAGCCAAACGTATGAAGTACGTTCGTCTGCTAAGCCTCAAGCCAAGTTCGCTATCGAGTGAAGACGTGCCACCACTACCGACGTTTGACGCGTTTTGAAGCTGTGGGAGATTTCAAGTCAACATGCTTGTTTGAAGCGTTAGGTTTCATCTTATATAAATAAATTAACATATGCATCTTCTATTACGAAAAAGATAAATTGATAGATATCACTCGTAGATATGATCATACCATCGCTTTCTGTAGTGTGGATCCGGTGTCAAAATCTTTCCACCTAAGGAGATATAGGAAATTTGCACATAGTTAGTGCAGATTTCTTAACTGTTTGTCGTAACGGAATTATTATTAGGCCGTAAAATTGAACGAATAACGCTCTATCATTCCCAAGCCGTCTGTTCTTATTCCTGCAGCTTTTGTTTTGTAATCATTAAGCCCGATAGTCGTCGTTGAGTTTATCCTTCACTTGTGAACTCTGTCGACTTGCAATTATTCTGGATTTTTAGAAGGCTTATGAGCGCTTTTCAATACTTTGTCCATTATTTACTGTGAGAAATAAATTATCTTGCTCTACCTTTTGATTCTAGCTTATAGGCTCTGAACTTGTCTTGGCAGTGTATCTTATTTACGCTCTTTCTGGTTGGATGGAAATGACGTTCGGTCAAGCTCTAATTTTCCCTCTTTCTATGACGCTTGTTATGTACTATGAATTGATTCAGGAATATTATTTATTATTTCTTCTGTCATAATCAGTAACAAGCTTCTACAATATTCTCAATTATGCTCTAGAATCTTATGTCGTTGCGTCCGTCGCCGCAACCTGGGATATTTTCACAGTACCTGCAAGAGATAATGAAATTTGTTTTCTCCTAAACATTCTCATCTCTCATGGCCCAGGCATTTGCACTTAGACATCTAACATTTGCATTAAATGTTGCTTTTTCCAGTAGGAATTGCATCGAAAAATATTATCATCTCTCATGGTCCTATACGGTAAAATTAACTTTGAATTTTTTACTTCGACGAAATTTTCTTTTGGTGTTGAAAATGGACACAGATCATATCAAAAGATGCATTTATTCGTGTATAATTTATTGTGAAGTTCGGTATTGCTTAACTGTGCTGCGAAGTGTATGCGTTTCGAGTGTGGCTATGCGTTGTGATAACTGAGCGTGGCTAACGCTTCTAAAGTGTTCCAGCTTTCTGTATGTCGGGAAATGATTGAATGTAGTTTTTTTGATGCATACGTTTGCAGCTACGCCTAATTCAGCAGATGATCTACAACTCGTAACCTTTTTCCTGTCAACGTATAAGTGTAAATCTAACATAGTTTACCTGAAGCTTTGTGTACATAAGTTAGTAAATACTGCACATCTCATCGGCATGTACATATTCATTACTATTGTCTTAGACTTTCTGTATATTATGCTACTGTCACCAAATACTAATTAAGGATACAAATTTGTACCAGTTATAGTTATAATAGCTCATTATGCTTTAGTCATATATCACGCTTTTTTAGACCCAGTACTCGTCAAATCTTGGCGCGCTAGATCAGCAGCTCTTGGTTCCGATGGTTACTTCCTTGAAGTGTGGCAACTGGCGCGTCTCTGTGATGACAGACGAAAATCTATAACTCTTAACTTTTCTGCGAGAATACAGTAGTTCAGTAACATCGATAGTCATAGTCAACTTTTGTTTAATGAGGGAGCGGCTCGAAATACTCCTAAGAAAGCCAAATGTGTCTGGTGGTTGCCTGCTCGTCAGTATTGACTTATAACGTTTGCAGTTTCCCTGCCCATGGTCGTTGGAAGTGAGGTATAAGGACGAGTAGGAGCATGGCTGAATAAATATATTGTATTAATTCAACCATGAGCAGGGGTACCTCTGACGGACTGTAGGCACATTAATGGAACTAAATTCCGGCAAGTGGAAATAAACTGCAGGTGTCGCGTCCTGCAGTAGAGCTGAATGAACTGATGCATATATTCAAACAATGCTAAAGTTTATTGTTATTCTTCTGTGGTATGAAAACTCTAGTGATTTCCATAACTTAGGTTTCTCTTATTTCAGTTTTGATGGCTACATTAACAAACGGTGGGTTGAATTTTAAGAGATTAAATGTGGATTTTTGCTGTCTACATTGGACATTAGTAGTACTGTAGTAGTGTAACTGCTTTTGATAAACAGAACGTGCGATTCATGATTGGTTAGAAGTTTATTGGTTGAAATAATTATTTAGCCTGACTACAGATTTGTTTAACAACAAACCATTCATCTGTTAGTCTTTAAGCTTGAAATATTTACTGTCACATGAATTTACTGCATTGGTTTGGTCGCGGTGAAAAGAATTTCTGGAAAATGTGTAATAGATCCATCGATTTGGAGTTGCACGTGTCGATCATGTGATGCGTTACTACGCCTAGGGGATAATCACGTGTCTGACAACTGTGTTTTGTTATCTTCCGATCGGTTATACCGACTTGAAATAAAATCATGAAAATTGAGTTTTTTTTTACTACAATGACGTTGTACCGCCTGTACCAGGAAGAAAAAAACGCGAAACTTTTATAATATATCTGCAAAAAAAGTTGTTCACCTTATGAGATAATGAAATAAAAAAGTACCTTCCTTCGGTAATAGCTGCTGAAACCAGCAAAATGCATTAAAAAACTCTCTACTGATATTGTTGCACTTCCAAAAGAAACTTAAAATCAATAATTCCACTGCTTGATTAAATTGGTTGGAATGTGCTCTGAACAGCACTGGCAAATGGCCGAGAATCTGCAACGCAAGAGCTAGCAGCTTACAGCCTTGTTTTTTCTTGCATTTTTTTTCAGTTGAACAAGTCGTTCCTTCACTAATCCTCCCGCGCACAAACTACGAAACACTTTGAGCGACATTGTAGGAACAAAATGACTGAAGAGCAAATAAGCATTGACAATGGCAATATCCATTACATGGAAAAAGTCTCTCAGCCAGGACTTTCTCCCTGAGTAAGACAGACGGCAATTGCTGATATTTTGTTGATGTAATTCTTTCACTTTGGTTTTCAAGAAATAATCGGCGACGCCTGAAGGGATTTCATACATTGATTCCTCACCCTCAACAGAAACTTTTTGTACTGGGTTGTGGAAGTTGGTAGCAAAGGTTCGATTTCTGCTCCACTTTATGGCAGCAATACCCGAAGAGCAGGTTAGCCAAGATTTTTCGCTCCCAACACTGGTCTTTTTAAAATTGAAATCTGGGCACGACGTTTCCAGAGAATTTTCAACAGGCCCGCAAGCGTTGATGCCCATGCGTTTGAACTTTTCGAGTATCCTGACGTTGGTCATCTCAGGATCGAGGTACAGAAGGTGGTTGCTGTCTTCAATATTGCACGTGAGCAACATCGCTGTTTGTTCCAAAAGCTCACGAGAGATGGAACGTTTTCTTTGCTTCTCTACTAGGCAAAGGTTGTGCACGTAGCTCGACTGGTCCATCAGCACCCACATTTGGTGGCGTTGACATTCAGGGTGCTGTACTAAATTATTTGATCCAGGTTCATTTGGACTTTCAGACTTGGTAAGAACAAGGCTCCTGCTACAGTGGTGGAACTTTTGAAAATTGGGTAATATGATCTCAAGAATTGGTTTAAGCTCTTCAACAAAGAGATTATCGTCAGACGTACACACTTCATTGAAATTGACGTGAATGTTGTTAAGAAACCACACGTACCGATCTCGGGTCATCAATTGAGCTATGAAGTGGTTATGCATGTATGGCACGGCACTCCAATAATCACACACTTGTGGCAGTCGATTGAGGCCCATGAAAATACAAATTCCAAGGAACGTGCGCATTTCAGACGCGTGAGTGCACTTGAATGAATTATTTTTGCTAGCTGCGTACAAGTTAGTTTGGGTGACCAACAACTTGATCACGTCTTCTGAAATCAAGAGTCGAAAAATATCATACGGACTGGGATCATTTAAATTCAGAAGGTGGTCTGTGAAACCGGTAGTCCAGTGTAGACGTTTCGGTGGCACAGGGATTGAGTCTTGACTCCAAGTTATTTGTGGGCGGTCGTTGTCCATAGTTGAGTCCTCATTCGCGTCTCCTACTTCAAAATCTGACCAAGGAAAGTCAGCTCTCAGTAACTTCGAATATGAAGCTTTCGTACGACCATGGGACCCAGAAGCGACGGTAGAGGGAGTGATCGATCCTGAATCTTGTCCGTAGAAACTAGGGTTAAAATCTGAAATATGCAGAGAAAATTTTAATAATTTTAATGTTTATCCTACAAAACAATTTTTGAAACATTTAGTTTCAAAAATTTAGAAGAAAAAAATATACTGACTCTGATTGGTGGTGTGATAATTCTGAATAAGATAAAAACCTCATAACAAACAGTATTTCTCGATTTTTCAAGTTCTGATTTATAAACTCGTACCAATAGAATGGAACTTACCAAGTTGGTCAGCTGAATCATTCGAGGTCAATTTCAATTTCTTTGTAAATTTCTTGGTAGCGATGGTTATTGCATGCAGCTTGATACTACCAGATGCTTGCGAGATAGAAATTTTTCTTTGTTCACTACCGTCATGAGTGGTGCGGAGGGTAGTTGATTCACCATCATTAATGGTGGTACGAGTAGCAGTTAGCGAAGTGGCTGAAACTCCGCCATCTTTTACACTGATAGAATCTAGTTGGCCAGTAGAAGATATGTTAATGACCATCGGTGCATCTATGTTCAATGAGGTCTCGTTCGTAGCTGAATTTGAGGTAGTGGTGGCAATAGTTGAAGTAGCGGAGGCGGGGATAGAGATGGCAGTGTTGGCAGAGGTGGTAGTAGTGGCAGAGGTGGTAGTAGTGGCAGTGTTGGCAGAGGTGGTAGTAGCTGCAGCACGACTAGTAGGCGTGGTCATTGTCGCAGTAGTTTTATATGCCGTTTCGTCACATAAAGGATAGCCGATCACAGTCGTCTTAGATTGATTATCAAGATGAAATATACTTTTAGTAGAGTCATTATTTAATTCATTATTATTTGATACTTTTTCGATGATGGAGCTCATACCATCACTGTCAGTTGTTGCGTTGGAGTTGGTCTTTATTTCAGAGATTCCGGATGAGTGGCTTTGCTCTGTCTCAGGGAAGTCGGAGCTGGTTTTTACTTGAGCTATTTTGAAAAAGTGGCAGTTTTTTTTCTTAGGGATGTTGAAGGAGTGTCTGGTCTTGACTGCTGGACGACTATTGCTTGGAATGGTGTCCGTTGGGTTGGTTTCTGGATTCAATGGAAGTCCAAGCTCCAACCTGATGGTTTTCTCTTCCCATTTCTGACAAAAAAAAAAAAGAAATTAGTTTGAAGATTTATTACTGAATTACTAGTATAAAACAACGGCATTGCAGTGTTTGGTCATACACTTTATTCTATATAATCCGTCATTGGAAACGAGAAAAATTATTCATTTAATATTTCCATAATTAGTTTTATTTAAACAATTAATTCAACACCTTACGTAAGATTTTCAATAAATCTACGCAAAACATACCTATCGCAATAAATTTTTTATTATAATCCAAATATTCATTTCATTTGTTTTATTGAAATTGTGCTAGCTGTTCTTATATGGTAATTGAATAACTTTACAATTTAACCCAACATATCTGAACCAAAGGCTCAAACTCATCAGTGGCAAAACTAAAAAACCCGTTAGTGGCAAAACTCAAAAACCCATTAGTGGCAAAGCTCAAAAACCCGTTAGTGGCAAAACTCAAAAATTCATTAGTGGCAAAATTCAAAACTCATTAGTGGCAAAATCACATACACTGATTTTGATGGACTTCTTTGGCAGCAGAGCCCAGAGTTCTTCCTTAAGTTTATCTTCCAGCTCCACTGCACCTGTTACAGAAATTTGAATTCGCAATAATGCTGATGAATTTCCCAGACGCGTATGTCAAAGTGTAATTATTAAACAGAAAATAGATAATTTAACGGGATTTAATTTAAAAATATTATTTAATACAAAACCTTCTAATCTAATTAGGTAATTATGCACAACTGACTATTGACTAACTTAAACTAGACTAATTTAAAAAATGGCGGACCCTTCAAAAGTGAAGAAAAAATGACCATTCAATAGTGAAGTTGAGGGGCCTCTTGGGTGGCATGTACGCTACCAGTGCTGTATTGAGTTTATTGCCAAACTGAAAAATTTACTGTCACTTGAAACTGGCGAAAGCCTATTAATGAGTGAAACTAATTTCAGCAAAATTTAATTAACAAGTATAGTTAGTATGCATATAACAGTGAAAAAATAATTAAATCTAGTGAGAAGAATGTTTGAGAAATCAAAAGATGTGGAAGCTAATCCCTAGTGTGCGGACACGTGTACACAGCCTGCACATTGTTTACAAGTATTTTATGATGGAATAATAGTCAAATGAGAGGTGGTGTTTCAACACAATTATTAATTAAAATGAAAGACGGGAAACTCACTGAGCTGAGGGTGCAGGAGGGCGAGCTCGCCACGCAGTCTGCCCGCCCATTGCTTGAATTGAAAAGTTGAACGCACCTGTGAACAATAGCACTTGCCATTATTTCTCATAATTACGAAACATTTATCTTTTTCTGTATTAATTGTCAATCAACTAATAAATAAATAATTGAGATATAAATGAAGCAAACATTGGTTATCATTATGTATTAAATACTTGCTTATGGTAGTTGGTTCATTTTAAAAATAAGACTACAAGCAATCGATCATCAAAGCGCTTCTCAGCATTACCATAAGTTTCCCTCCATATCGTTATTCTACAAACTGAAAAAACTAATTGAAATAATATTTAAGGGTTAGATAGGACGATAAGATACGTGTAATTCATATTATGTAATGCAAATGAAAATGAACAAACCGTTTTTTGTGTCAACGAAGCTTTTGTTTTGGCAGCAGCCGGCGTGGTATAAGCTTTAGGCTGACTCCTGGTCTTATTGCAGGCTGACTGTAACAAAGAGGCAAAATCAAACATAATTTTACACAAAACACTAGATTCCTTTCTTGAGTTAATAACTCAAATGATGATACAACTGGCAAAAAATCTTTCGTAATCAAAGCTTGAATGTTACATACAAAAGTTTTAATGAAAACTGACTTATTTCCACTGACAGAGAATTTACCAGAGAAAATATTTTTTGTAGGCAAATACAATTTATTTTAAAGAGTCTATTCTTTATCTCATTTAAATAAGACTTTAAAGTGAGCATCCTGATAATGAGAAAAAAATTATAAAATAATGTGGAGGCTAACATTTTCTTAACTCAGGCTACTTCTAGTTTGGAACTCTAATGTTATCTTGTTAAAAATAAATGATATAGGAAAATGAATTAATCCTGAAAGAACTAATAACTTCGTAGCTGAGATGTAACAGCTTTGGTGACACGGAAGAAATTGAGACTTACAGGAATCTTGAAATCTGTAGTGACCGGAGAGTTGACGTCTGTGCTGACAGCAAAATGTATGTCAGGTATGTTGATAAGAGAGGTGACCTCAGCAGCGTTGACAGGAGAGGTGACGTCAGCAGCGTTGACGGGAGAGATGACATCAGCTGCATTGACAGGAGAGGAGACCTCAGCTGTGATGACAGGAGAGGTGACCTCAGCAGCGTTGACAGGAGAGGAGACCTCAGCAGCGTTGACAGGAGAGGAGACATCAGCTGCATTGACAGGAGAGGTGACCTCAGCAGCGTTGATAGGAGAGGTGACATCAGCTGCATTGACAGGAGAGGTGACCTCAGCAGCGTTGACAGGAGAGGTGACATCAGCTGTGATGACAAGAAAGTGAAATTAGTTTTCCAGGACAGCAGATTCCAGAGCAGATGATATTAATACCCTCATTGTTAGGATATTTGCAATTGGAAATATCACAGTCAGGAGATATTAGGCTAGAAGCATGATTGACAATAAACTTGGTCATGGCATGAAAAGGAAGTTTGGCACATTAATTTTTGTCTGTACAGTTATCTTGATAGTAGAGTATGAACAAACATATGAAATGTAAGATGAAAATAAGGCAACTCAATTTTACCAATAGTCTTCATAAGAAGTAGAAAAAAAGTATGCAAGTATGCAATAATAGGCAAGTCCAAAGCAAAAGGAGTTTAACAACTTCAAGTTTTTGAACTGACATATTGATGATTGCTTGATAAATTTACTTATACATTTAGCTTAGTTAAGGGGTTTTGAAAGATATTGGGAATTATCTAAAACCCAAAACGATTATAAAAACTTTTTTCCAGAACTGTTATATATACAGTATATAGAGAGAGCAATTCAACACTAGTATAACCACAAAAATCAAGTTTCAAGCTGGCTTTAAAAAATTGTTGATAACATTGAGACAAAAACCAATTACATAGCCCTGTTTTCGAGTATGCGTTTGTATAGAACTAAGGTGTTTTTCACACACAACTGCAACATTTGGGTTGAATTCTACTTTATATCCTGGTCCAAGGCAAGCATGCAGCCATTTTTTAACAAATTTTTTATCCTTAGGAATCCCAAAAATGTTTTGTTTCACTTTGCAGTGACGTGCTGCCTAAAACAACACATTTTTTAAATCACAAATTCACTATCAGGCAAAAACCTGTTTTATTACCTGCATGTATGCGTGCCCATTTATTCTTGCCAAGTCCAGTTGAAGGCTCCTCAGGGCATTTAGGTGACATCAGCTGCATTGACAGGAGAGGTGACCTCAGCAGCGTTGACAGGAGAGGTGACATCAGCTGCATTGACAGGAGAGGTGACCTCAGCAGTGTTGATAGGGGAGGACGGGGAGGTGACATCAGTTGCATTGATAGGGGAGGTGACATTTTTGTCTCTAGTTTTTTTATCATAGTCTGTACAGTTATCTTGATCGTAGAGTAAGAACAAACATATGAAACATGAGATGAAAATAAGGCAACTTAATTTTAATAATAGTCTTTATAAGAATCAGGAAAAATAATATGTAATTACAGGTAGAAAGCAAAAGGAGTTCAACAACTTCAAATTCTTGAACTGACATATGGACAATTGCTTGATAAATTTATTTCCAAGTGTAGCTTACTAAAGGGGTTTGGAAAGACATTGAAATTATCTAAAACCCAAAACGATCATAAAAATAATTTTCCAGATATGTTGTATATACAGTACCGTATATAGAGAGAGCAATTCAACATAAGTATAACCACAAAAATCACGTTTCAAACCGGCTTTAAAAACTATTGATAACACTGAGACAACAACCAATTACATAGCCCTGTTTTCGAGTATGTATATAAAGCACAAATTCACCACCAGGCAAAAACCTGTTATATTACCTGCATGTATGCGTGCCCACTTATTCTTGCCAAGTCCAGTTGAAGGCTCCTCAGGGCATTTCCGTTTGATGCCAATAAGCGAGGGTAGAACATCAACAGTGTTCGGAGGTTTTTCATCACTGTCAAATTCTTCCTTCACTTGAACATCCTCTGAAGAGTATTTATATAATTAGTATAAACAAGGAAAATGTAAATTGAAACTGATACAAAAAAATTTGGGTATGTTCCAGTATAAAAAATAGGTAGAAATGTTTGCTTATGAAAATGAATATCACGAAAATTCTCAGAAAATACATACCATTTTTCAGAATAAGATTCTCAGGTGATAGCAAATCCTGCCACAATGGCTCTAGTTTGACAGAACACGGCTTGAGGTTTGCCCAGTCTCCTTGTAACAGCTCCACATTTAAAAACTTCTCTATGCCATCAACTTCAGGATCTATCTTGACATCAAGCTCTCCCGATGATCCTGTTCAAAGAAAATTTGATGTGATCCAACATGTAAAGACTATGAAGGGTATGAAGTGTAAATACCTACTACCATTTTGGGGGTAGGCATGTAAGACAGTGTAGTAGAATTTGTGGTCAACATGTCAAATAATTTTATTGCAAGTCCATTCAACAACAGGAAAATGGTGTCAAACAACATGCATGGCAATTGGTCATGCATTGTTACTGATACAGGAATATATATATTACTGATATGATACTGTGAGATTGAAGAGTGTGGTACCGCTAGAAAAAGCAGTTGAAGCTTGGACCGATATATATATTTTTCAAATGAAAACCGTTCATTCTAAAAAAAAATCTGGAACTCAAAAACTTTTCAATAATTCAGCACAAAAGCTCCAATAATTTTAAGATAAATGTGAACTTTCAACACAAATATAGTGATCATTTTGAAAAAATTAGAAAAAAATTAAAAAGTGGCAGGATTTGGCAAGTGATGATAAGAGTTCTGGAGGATATTGAATAGGTATATAAATGTTCAAATAACAAGATTGTACAAACCTGGAAAATTTTCATTAGTTTTCTCAAGATTTTCTTTTGCATCAGAATGTGCAACTAGTTTACTATTTTTCTGTTGGCTCTCCAAATTAGGTTTTTGTATCTTCATTTTTCTGTCCTGATTTGGATGATGAGTTGAATGATCACAACAGCTGCAGGAGGATTTCTTGAATTTAACTTTTCTTGCACTTCTTCCATTTGGTCGCTGTATGAGCTCAGTTTCATCTGCAAATGTCATTGAGAAGTCAGTCAAAGATGCCTTTGAAGACAACATATAAACATAACTATAATGAAAAAAATGTTATACTTTTTTGTAGCTTCTCAGATAAATTAATTCTATTAAACCAGAATATTTATTAAAAACTTATGTGCTTAGATGAGCTTGGAAGCAAAACGTAACCTAAGGGCTCCATTTTCTCAAGTAAAAACTTGCATATTTTTTGATAACTGATATGAAAATTTACTCACCTTGCAAGAGATTTGAACCACAATTTTGTTGTGGCAAAAATTGATCTGGTACAGCATCCACTTTTATAGGTCGGTAGCTACGTCCTGGGGTGATTCCAAGCAACTCGTACTTGAGGTTGCGTTGCATTTGTTTAGAACTAAAGTGTTTTTCACACACAACTGCAACATTTGGGTTGAATTCTATTTTATATCCTGGACCAAGGCAAGCATGCAGCCATTTTTTAATTAATTTTTCATCCTTAGGAAACCCAAAATGTTTTGTTTCACTTCGCAGTGACGTGCAGCCCAAAACAATACATTTTTTAACCATTCTACTGGAACTAGTGTATAATGTTTTGAAGCCTGAAAAATTTGTAAATAAATAGGCAAAAGTTAAACTGATAAATTTACATAGATAAATGAATAATAAAAACATACATGCTTAGGTAAAATTAATTATCAAAGGCCTAGAGCCAAATATCAATATAAAAATATCGGTGTACAATTAATGACCAAAGAATTCATTACAATTTTCAAGGAGTCCAACAAGTCTCTGGAATACTTTAAAGGAAAATTTTTATAAGTTGTCTTCAACTATAACAACCTCAACATCCTGACAGTCTCACCTGCCATCTACAGACTGGAGGGCAGGGAAACCATCCAAGACAAACTTACGAGGAGCGTCTACCCTAAAAATTATCTTGGCTATTTACAGTCGGATCACTCTGAAACTTGGTACACATATGTAAAATGGAAAAAAACTTGCATTTTGTTTGTGTGAATTTTTTGAAAAAAATTAAAGAAAACGTGAAATTCTTAGAAAACGGCTATATAAGGGGGTACTGTAGAAATGGATCTAGTCCTAGGATTTCCAAGCTACAACATCGAGACACATATCATTCGATGCGTGAGGTCTTCTGAATATGNTAAAAATATACATGCTTAGGTAAAATTAATTATCAAAGGCCTAGAGCCAATTCAGCCAAATATTTATAATATAAATATAGGTGTACAATTAAGGACCAAAGAATTCATTATAATTTTCAAGGAGTCCAACAAGTCTGTGGAATACTTTAAAGGAACTGTTTTATATGTTGTCTTGAACTATAAGTTTGCCTTGAACTATTATATGTTGTCTTGAACTCAACATCAAGACCATCTCACCCATCATCTTCAGTCTGGAGGGCAGAGAAACCATCTGAGACAAACTTACAAGACTTTAGCTTGCACCATGCTGGAGAAACCCAGCAGCATTGTGATCATACAGAGGTGCACAACATTAACCAGCCAGCAATTGCTGGAATGGGGATCCCTCGTTATTTTGGAGACAATTTGGAGTTTACCCCAGCTATCTATTTCCTAGCTGGCGGCTTTGTCTAAACTTTAAGATTGTTTGCACTTTGCAGAGGGGCTTTCTCGCTCAAAATGGTTGTTTTGTATCCTATTAACGTTTATTATGTACTTATGTCCAACAAAACTTCATTATTCAAAGCTTCTCTTAACTTGAAAATGAATGTCATTATATACTTATATATACTAACATATACTTAAAATAAATATACTAACAAGTAACATGGGGTAAACACACCATATTCCGACACTGTGGGTAATTCCGACACCCCTCATCTTTTTCCTTTATATTAAGGTTGGTCTTAGTTCCATGCATGCATAGACGGTTGAAATAGTGACGTCATACTTCACACAAGCTTCCACACACGCAACCAACGCGCACTTGACCTCCGGCGCTTGTTTCCACAAAACACTAGGGTGACTAGGCTATATCTAGCGGGAAAAATTGGAAAATGTTAAGATCCGCAGAGCAAAAGTCCAACTTTCCAAGTCAGCTAGTAGAGAACATCGAAACACGTATGCAAGTTGATAGTTGACCTTGCTTTACTTAATAGTGATAAACTGTTTGCGTAGAAAGAATATTATGGTTTGAGACTTATAAACAAGTCTGCGAATATATTAGGAATCCTTTTAAGTATGCTTGTATTTGCTGATTTCAAGTGGTAAATAAATTAATAGATGATGACTTAAGAGACGGTTTTAGACACATAAAAGCTAATTCCAACACAGGGTGTCAGAATTACGACACACAGGGTCTCAGAATTACGAATTACAATTTTGAAGCTGTCGGAATTAGTATCACAATATGCCGCGCCCGCATTTAGTCACACAAAGTATCGAAATTCAGTGATTTTGTAGATTTGAATTCTAAAGGCTATTAAATAAATAAGGCAACAGTTTGTGATGTTTCATTGCTGGCGCAGGCCGCAGAGTGTGGTGTTTTGAGAGTGACTTAAACCAATCAGAACTCAAGTTGCACATACGGTGATCTATTTATAGCCATTTATTTCTTGCTTCGTCCATGCAGGCTTGCAGCCCCCGCCGGCCGCCCTCATGGCAGGAAATAACTTATTTGCAAGTTGCAAACAACTTCAACCGTGGCTGTAGCCTGTACCCTGTAAGTGTAACTAGAATCCTCAAATCCCGACCCATTCTGACACCGGCATGTCCAATTCTGAGTCGAGTGGCAGCACACTCCATTCTGCTGGACTTTAGGCAGAGCCAGCCTGCCAGGGTCGCAGTCTGGGTTCATCCATGATGTTGCTCAAAAAAGTCCCCTTCTGGGTGCGAGCAACAGATGTCTTCCATCATTCCATGTTCTAGGTAGTCCAGTGTTGATGAAGTTTTCCTCTCAAGTCAGTCAGGCTGTCAGGGACTCTTCTAGGCTGAAGTAGGCTCAACACATTTAAGGCTGATTGAGCATTGAGATGACCCATATTGGCTGCCCTGTCTGCCACTTCATTACCCTTTATACCACAGTGCCCTCGCACCCATTGTCTTGTCTTCTTTGGTGAGTTATCGGTGTGCAGCGCGTTTCAACGATTCACACCGCAAGCTGTTCGTCGGTTCGATGCTGTAACTCAAGGATCAAAGCGGCCGGCTTCACTGATGAACTGCTCCACTTTTCTGCAGATCTGTGGCCAGTCCGGGCAGCCGGCCATGTCACCTCCCAGCAGCGAGGCAGAGCTGAGGACCAGTAGGCTCACCCATTGTAGTACTATAGAGGCCTGCCTTTTGCAAACCAACTGACTCACGCGCACGCACATGCAGGAAATATAAATAAAAAAAAATCCGCATTCCATGATATACGGATTACGGAATAATCTAAACTAATCTGCAGATTGGCGGGAAAAGTAGAAACAATAAAATAATATTGAATATTAATGAAATGAAATTTATTTTTGAAAAGTTGGAAAACTAATTCGATTTTAAACAACGTATTAATTCCAGTTTTATTTAAATTTCACAAAATTGCTTTGTGATAACCGAATTGTGATTCAGGGCCGAATCACATCATAATCTCGTGTAAATAGCTTTAATTGCTAAATAATGACGTTAGGACAGGAGAGGAAATTCTTCTGTTTATAAAATAAATTATTAAAATATTATTCATAAATGAATATATATAAATATTAGGAAGCGACGCAACACGGTACAATAAATGTGGTTGGCCAATTATTTTATTTTAAAAAATCTTCAGGGTTTAAATTAGTTTAGATTGGACCAGGTTGTTTGTAGTATCAATGAAATTTCTTCTCTTTTACATTTTTTTTTAAATCATGAACGAATCTAACTTCAAAGTTGGAACTATGCTTGCCTCATTGCATTGCTTTTCTTTTTCATGTAAATCCGTATTCAATTTTGGGACTTATGTACTAGACCCTTGTGCAAAACTAGAATTTTGCATTCAAATCTAAAACGCAGAATAGAAAAAAAATTATACTTTGCTTCACTATCCGTTTATCTGTTGCGAATACCGTACGCTGTACGCGACCCCCTTTATAGAGGAAGGAAAGAATTAACTCATACCTGAACAGTAATGAGTCAGTTGCTGATCTCGCTACATAACTACTTTTATATTTAAGAAAATAGTTTAGAGAGAATTCATGCTAGCGAATCACTACTTCAGTTAGCAATATTTATTGGTGATGACGAGGTGTCAGGAGCACGTGGCGATGACGAGGTGTCAGGAGCACGTGGTGATGACGAGGTGTCAGGAGCACGTGGCGATGACGAGGTGTCAGGAGCACGTGGTGATGACGAGGTGTCAGGAGCAAGAATCACGTGTATATAGTTTCACGTGGCGTTGAGAGATGCACGTGGCGTGGAAAGATACACGTGGCGTAGAGAGATGCACGTGGCGGAGCGAGAAATACACGTGGTGTGGAAAGATGAACTTGGAGTTGCACATGATGTAGTAGTGATGTCACACGTCTCGGACGAATTTACGGCCGGACCCGCGGCCGGTCTCGCGGCCGCGCTCCAGATTCAGTGTATTCTATTCTATGCCCCATAACATTGAAGACTTGAACGTATCAAAGATGATGATTGGTGGACGAAAGTGATGAGTAGGATTAGGTACAGAAGCAGGAGCAATCAATAATAATATGAAATACAAGTAATAGTTCTTTACCAATGTAGCAGGATATTATCATTTAAAATTTCTCTAATAACAAATAAATAGAAATGCACTTGAAATGCTTATGATTAAAGTTTTGACTTGTCTCATTTCTATCATTTTAGTCCTTATTACATACAATTGATGAATTGAATATGCTAAGGCCACCATTTAAATTAATAAGTTTTTTCAAACATAACATTAACGCATATCATATTAGAAAGTATTGAAATAAAAAAAAATCTTATGAGAAAGTTTTTAGCGCATTTTCTCATTTATGGAAAAATGCACTATTGTGCTCGCCATGTCCGTCTGTCTGTCTGTCCGTCTGTCCGTCTGTCCGTGACCTCAAGTTTTCGTCGACGAGAAAATGCGCTCTCTGTCACTCACTGCAGTGAGTTCTGAGTTATATTTTTTGCATCTTTACTTGTGCCTGGCTAACACGAAGTAAAAATGAAATAAAACTAGTTTTTCAACAGGTTACACGATCCACATTGCTCACTTGTCTCCAGCAAGGAAGGGTCCGGTAAGACGTACAGCAATAATGCTGTAGTTCTCATGACAATCGTTATTACAGGCTGATAAAACTTAATAAATTTTTGGCATTTTGAGCTTACAAGTCATTTCGAGTCACGCCAGTCTTTCTTTACTTTGAAAATGTGTCGACTTACAACGCAGATAATTCCTTCCTGGATTAAATACAAAATTTGTAATAAATAGAATGATGTAACGCAACAGTGTAGATTAAAATTTTTAGAAGCATGAAAATCTCAAAAAATGTAGATCGGACATGGTTTTTATTAGCCGTCACAGATGACTTTAGCAGCCACGTGTAGTATCATTAATGGTGACCTCATTGACCTGTTCAGATATTCATTGGATTTATTGATTACTTGG